CCGTGGACATCAATGTCAATGGACTGAACGGAGAAGCTTATTTAGACACAGCTGCTAGGACTAGTATTGCCGGTTACCATCTTTTCCAAAAACTTGTTGAAATGAAGGAGGAATTCCAAAAAGTTTACGCCGAAATAACGTTGGCTGATGGAATAGTGCGTAAAGAACTAGTTTGTTCAACAGTCGTGAAGATTATAATTGGAAAAAGATTGAAAAGAATAAGGTTCATATGTCTGCCAAACGCCAGAAATAATAGAACTCTTTTGGGCATCGATTTTCTTGAGCAAGCTGGTATGGTTATGGATCTGGCTCAGAAAACGTGGTATTTTAAAGATGCACCGAAAGAACTTTTTTCATTTAAAGCAAAACCATCGAACATGGACGACATAAGACTCAATCAGACTCTAATTGAAAATAAAACAACAAAAATGGCATGCAATATAAATGATTTTATGGCATGGTTTGAATCCAATTATGATGAAAAACCCCCAACTTTGGGTGAAATGTACTCAAAACCAGAAGATTATTCCCCTGGTGGATTATTGAGAATCTTTTCGGACACATTGCCCAATGATTTTGAAATGCCAAAGCAGTCAAATCTTTTTCCGCCATTGAAAAAATGCCGCAAGGACTCCACAGCTGCTTTTGAATTAAATGTTATTGATTTCAACATATGTAAGGATGAAAAATCTACATTGAAATCAGATGAAAAGAAGATTTTATGGGAGTTTTTAAATGCCAATCAGGAAATATTTGAAAATATATGTACTCCAATAAAGGGCATAGAGCACAAAATTAACACTGGTTCTCATGAGCCAATTTCCAATCCACCATACAGAATTTCACCTGCCATGAAAGAAAAATTGAAGGTCGAAATCACCAATATGTTACAAAAAGGAATTATAGAAGAAGTCGAATCTCCTTGGGCATTTCCAGTGGTGCTCATTCCAAAAAAGGACAATTCTATTCGTTTTTGCGTTGATTATAGAAAATTGAACACCATAACAACCACTGACACATATCCACTGCCACGTATGGAGGATCTTTTGCATTCAGCGAAAACAACCCCGTTTATGTCAACTTTGGACCTAAAATCAGGCTATTGGCAAATAAAAATGTCAGATGAGGATAAATTAAAGACGGCATTCACAACTCCATTCGAAATTTATGCATTTAATAGAATGCCCTTCGGTCTTAAAAATGCTCCAGCCACATTTCAGAGAATTATTGACAAATTTCGGTCCAGTCTGCCGAACATTCTTATTCTGGCTTATTTGGACGATATTATTATTTGTTCAGAAAACTTTAATTCTCATATAAAAGATCTTGATCTAGTATTTCAAAAATTGAAGAACATTGGCTTCCATTTAAACAGCGAAAAATGCTTCTTCTGTAAAGCTGAGGTCAAATATTTGGGCCACATTCTTACGAAAGAAGGGATAAAAGTCGATCCAGACAAATCATCAGCAATTTTAAAGCGTCCAGTCCCCAAAAATATCAAGCAGCTTATGTCTTTCTTGCAAACCTGCTCATGGTTTCGCAGATTCATACCAAATTTTGCAGACATATCAAAACCATTATCTAACCTAACGAAAAAGAATGTTGTGTGGAAATGGTCAGAGGAGGAAAACAACGCATTTGAAAAATTAAAGATAATGTTAACATCTCCGCCAGTCCTTCAGCAAGTGAATGAGAAACAGCCATTTTTTCTAAGAACCGATGCTAGTAATTATGCCATCGGGGCTGTAATACTCCAGGGGGAGAAAGAAAACCAACATCCGATTGAGTATGCAAGCCGTCTCCTTTTACCCGCAGAGAGAAACTACTCCACAACAGAACGTGAAGCTCTCGCTGTAGTATGGGCAGTTCAGAAATTTAGAGGATATATCGAAGGATCTGAAATTAGAGTCCTTACAGATCACCAACCTCTTAAATGGCTTTTTTCTATAAAATCACCAACCGGCAGATTAGCAAGATGGTCATTATTGCTACAGAGTTACGATATAACTTTCGATTATACACCAGGCAAACAAAATATCATAGCTGATACTTTATCACGACCACCATGTGGAAACGAACTTTGTACTGAATTCTGTGCGTGTTTCACTATATACATTGATTTTCCAAGAGAGGGATTAGAAGATTTTCGTAAGGCTCAGTTGGAAGACGACAAGTTGAAAGATATAATAATGTCATTCGAGAACGACGACGAAAATGTCACAAGGCACACAAATCGCGGCTACATAATGATAGATGGAATTCTTTACAGATATTGTTCGGAGCAAGACTCAGAAAATGGTCAATTGGTGCTGCCGAAATCTCTTCATAATCAGATTTTAGATAAATATCACAAAGACCCACTATCAGGACATTATGGTATAGACAAAACGACGAATAGAATTACTCCAATATTTTACTGGTCAGGTATGCGTTCGGATATTGCGAATTATGTGAAAGACTGTGAGGAATGTAAACGCTACAAGGCATCGAATCTGAAGCCATGTGGATTACTGCAAACTATAAGCACCAACAAACGATTTGAAATTTTGGCGGTCGATCTCTTTGGACCTTTACCTAAAACAGTAGAAGGTCACCAATGGATATTAATAGTGGAAGATATCTGTAGTAGATGGGTGGAGTTATTTGCACTAAAACAAGGTTCTGCAGAAAATTGTGCACTAACATTGTTAAATGAAATTATTCTAAGATACGGAGTTCCCCGCAGGATACACACAGACAATGGGACACAATTCATTTCGGCCTTGATGCAAAAATTAACGTACTGTCTTGGAATAAAACAGACTTTTACCCCCATATATCATCCACAATCAAATCCAGTAGAAAGAAGAAACCGTGATCTAAAAACCCAATTAAGTATTTACGTAGGTAAGGATCACAGAACTTGGAACGCATTTTTACCAACAGTTAGATTTGCTATGAATACTGCCAAATGCGATAGCACAGGCCAAACACCAGCTTATCTAACGTTTGGAAGGGAGCTGAGGACGCCAACCGAAGTACACTTTGATTTTAAAGCCACCGTTTTGGCAGAAAACTTCGTTCCACAAATTACTCCTCATCTCATAAAACTAGCAAATATATTGGAAGTTGCAAATGATTTACAAATTAAGATGCAGGATAAGAATAAGAACTTTGTGATTAAGAAACGAAGAAAGCAGCCAGATTTTAAAATTGGTTGTAAAGTTTTGATTGATACACACATGCTAAGCAAGGCCAAGGATGGAATAACTTCCAAATTCGCGCCTCGTAGAGACGGTCCGTACATCATTAAGGAAAAAAAAGGATCCAACTGCTACGTCATAGCTACAACAACTGATCCCAATACCCCAATAGCAACAGTACATTCATCGGCATTAACTCAATATAAAGGCGAGCAAGAAATTGCAATATATCCGAAACAAAAAAGAGGTCGCCCATCTAAGACCAATATGAATCAGCAACAACAAAACCAACAGCAACATAATCTGCAACAACATAGCCAACAACGAAATTACCAGCAACAAGACGGACAACGTCATCAACAACAACATAACCAACAACGAAATTGCCAGCAACAAGACGGGCAACGTCATCAACAACAACATAACCAACAACGAAGTAACCAACAGCAACACAAACAACATAGCCAACAACGAAATCACCAGCAACAAGACGTACGATGTAATCAGCAACAACAAAACGATCGTGACTCGGAACCGACAGTATTAAGAAGATCCTTACGTTTGAAAAATAAGAATTGATGGTATCCTGTTCGCATCATCGAGACGATTAATGCAACAGAGGGGGAGATTGTAGCAGCCCGTTTATATATGTTTAACATAATCATATCATAGAGCATAATTTAACATAATAACTAACATGAGAGAATGTAATATCAGTATTATGCTAATGCAAGTTACATCGCATGTTATGTTAGGCGGTAGCATTAGCTCAAAGGAGCAATTTAACTATTATTCTCTTGTACTCTTTTGCTGTGCTTCTTCTTGCTTAACGAAGTTTAGTGTATGAATGCTCTCACGTACCCATTAACTTAACGATAGTTAGGGCCATTATGCTACTCTTTTTCTCTCAATAACTCAATGTATATGCAAAATACCTATAATTGCAAAGTAATAAATACTCAATTAGAAGTTAAGTTCTATTTTATGTTATGATTAAACTTATGCTTAGTTGGTCATTGAAATGTCGTTGCATCTTTCTATTCTGATCGAGCAACAGAGTAATAAAGTTGGTAAACGGAAAAACCCCTCTTTTATTTTGGGAAACATAAAATAATTATAAAATTTGCAAACCGCTAAGACTTTGGAAGCCTTAAGGCTACATAAGCAAGCGAACCTGAGGACGAATACTGTTCGATTCGACTTATTCTGTCCCAGAATAAATTAATAAAAATTATAAAATTATTAATAACCCTTACCAAGGAAAGGAATTTTCACCATTTGGAGATTTCCCCCCTTACACAGTATTTTATTTAAAATTTAAAAATGGCGTTCTAGTGGAGATGCTAGTAGTTTAGGCGACTTCAAAAAAGTCTAGTAGCTGTAAATGAAGATTTTGTAAGAGGAAGATAATATTTTAATATAAAATAAAGAACAGAATGCAGGCTGATACTAACTCATCGGGTCATATGTTTTTATTTAAATGTAATTAAGGCCTATCACAGTCTAAGAAAAATGTAGCGTAGTAAACTATTATTTTCCTCACAAAAATATAATTTAAAAAGAAAAACTATTTTAATTCTCTCCTATCCAAGCTTCCTTTATAAAAATCCACAATATTCTTTCCACATAGTCTAACTCTTTTCTATGGGAATAACTTTAAACTCTGAGTTCGACTTTATTCCATAGAAACAATTTTAGTGCCTCAACTCCATTACGACCATATATTACAGAAAACATTACCCTAATTTATCTTATGAAAGTATATTTTTTTAATAATCTTAATAAAATTTCAATTATTTTTCATTTCCTTCTTTGCAGATAAACTTACAACATTAACGCCCTGCTTTGTTATAACTTAACAAAACCAAAAGAAAATAAAGGACAGCCACAAATAAAAATATCAACAAGAAGACGTCGGTATCCTTTGGCATAGCCTTGTTAACAAAATGGTTTTGGTATTGAATGGTGTCCTGCAGGACGATTGTCCGATGGACACGACCAGTCTGTTCATGCAACATCCTGTCTACAGAGATTATGCCCAGCAATTGTTATCGATACCCACAAAGTCGGTAGGTCCGGTGGGTCTTCTGTACGTAGGTCAACGTGAAATGGCTGCTGCAGCACCGCATGATAAAAATATCAATATAATTGGTACAGATGATGCTACCACCTGTATTATTGTGGTGGTAAGGCATTCAGGTGAGTCGGATGAACACATGCACGCACGCACACACACAAAGAGATGAAAGGATTATGTTTTCTTAAGGAATATTTCTTTTGTGTTTCTTATTTCTTTATGTTCCTGGGCCTTAAATTGGCTTCATTTTACTTTTGCTTATGTTAATATACAAAGAAAGCTCGTCCTTAAGAAAGTATAAAAATATCCTTGTTTTAATTGAAGTTTTAAAAACATTTTGTTGTTTGCGGTTGTATGTGATATCGCAATTATTGTTATTCTTGTTGCTGTTTTACATTACTAATTTTCATGTTATCCTTATTGTAGGTTCTGGTGCTGTAGCATTGGCCCACTTTGACGGCACTGGCGTCGATGAAGCTGTCTGCACTATGGTGGCCCGTGTCCAAGAGTTGGCCTTAGGTTATCCGGAGGGCCGCATTGAATTGCAATTAATTGGTGGCTATCGTGATCCACAGAGTTATGGCGAAGAGGTTTTCTACAGTATAATGCGTAAGTTGAATTCGCAAAGACATATTTAAATTTTAAAAGAAAACTAAGAAACATTTTGAGATTTTTCATATTGAAATGTTGTTTTAGAAAAAAAAAACTAAGAAAGTTCTGGAGATGACTGTAAGGAGTTCCAATAAACGTCATTAGAAGAAGATCATATGAGGGCTCTAAATATGTCTTAATATACGATTTGAAATTAGATTCAATAGACTTATTGAAAGCTATTTAATGGCGGAGTCGTGACTCACGACTTAAAATGATTTTTAATAGAAAATCTAAATAGATGACGTTATTGACTCTACAGACAACATTAAAGTAGTCTCAACAATATCAAAGAAGTCTTAAGGATGATTTTAAAAAAAGAACTTAAAAGAATCTCAATAGATTTGATTTAAATTGTCTCAATAGGCGACTTTATAGGAGCCTCAGTTATCGACCTTAAATAAGTTTCAGTAGAATGCAACTATAAAAGGCTAATGAGAGCGATTTAAATGTGCCTTAATTGTTTTTAAACTAAGGTAACTATTTAAATATTGTCAATACAGGATGAGATAAAAAACCTGCAACAAAGTCAAACACCATAATTTTTATTTTTTTTTTTTAATTTTTTTTTTTAATGAAAGCAAAAAATGTCGGGCATAGCATGGAATTTAAGAATAAGTTTAGATTTGTTTGAATTAGTCACCTTTGGCACGACTTATGGCCTTCAAACGGCCAATGAAAGCGTCACACGCTGCCCGAATGTTGCTCTGCGATATTTTGGCCCATTCTCGGCAAATCTCTTGATTGAGATGATCGACACTTTGGTATTTTTTAGTGCCAACCTTGCTTCCCAAAATACTGCAGACACAATAGTTCAACGGATTGGTTTTCGGAGATTTTGGTGGCCATTGTGCACTGGAAATGAAGCGAGGTGCGTGCTGAGTCCTGTTGGAATATCCAAGGTCTGCGGCCAAAATGTTTGAGTACCCAAGGCTTTAATACACCCTCCAGAATATGCTATAATATTAGGAATTTATTCTGATGCCACGGTCGATTAATACGAGCGGAGAGCGACCATCGGCTATTATGGCAGCCCATACCATCACCAAGGCCGGCGCTTGAGTTCTGATGGCCAACCGAAGGTGCACATTTCTAGCTGACCTCTTTGGCAAGTAAACACGATCATTTTGTTTGTTTACAAACAGCTGGACAACGATTTTTGGAATTCGAACTCGTTTTTCAATATTTGCCAAATGGAATATTGCGATATGTTCAGCTCACGAGCCATTTTTCGGCCACTGCGACGCAGGTATCGATGAAGTCGCTTCTTCACTTTTCGAACCATTTCTGCCGATATTGCTGTTTTCTTCCGTCCACTTCATAAACGTCTACGGGGCTACGCTACCAGTATCACGGTAACGAGCGATGGTACGAAACAAAATATATTTATTTACATTTAAATGCTGGAGTGCTCTAACGATAGCCACTTGTGGTTTTCCAGCCAAATATAAAGAAATCACACTATCACGCTTGAATTCCATCACATATAACATTTTTTCTTTAAAATTCTCACCAAAATGTTTATATACGCTTGTAAACAATATAATGAGCTGTTACTGGAATAATTTTAACAACTGTCGGACGAGTGGCTTAGAAATTACAGCAGTCTGAAGTTGGTTGCAGTTTCTTCATCTCACCCTGTATATCAAAATGTTTTGATATACTTTTGATGTTACTTTTGTTTTTTTCGACATATATATGTTGATCCTTTGAAGAAAAGTTAACAGAAAGAAGTAGGTATAGTAATTTTTTTAATTAATTATGAATACGTGGATTCTTTGTTTATTTGAGATTTATATTTATTTCATTTTTGACATTTTGTGGAAATGTTGACCCATCTTGGGTACTCTGATGAACTATTTGGAATAGAAGATCGAAAATCGTCAACTGAAAATGGTAGTTTCTAAAATTGTACAACCAGTTTGAGCGTGCCAGTTGGGACAGGCATTTTCAAGATAGACCAACACTAGGTGAGATTACTTCATCACTTATCGCCTATGTTGTTGATCGATTTAAAATTTCGGAGTCCCCTAAAGCTTTATGTAATTTCAGCTTTGGCAATTATTTATTTAATTTGAAACACATCAATTCAACAAGCAAGTGGCCTGGCAGCATGAACTTATCATTACACTTGGCTGGGTATGGAAGTTTCAGACTATTATATAAACACATCCATTCTGTATTCCATCTTTTAGGTGTTTAAATAGTTGAACTTAATATGCCGCAGGTCTAGTCATTCTTGTCAAATCTTACTGTCCCAAATTTGCTCAAAGCTCACGATTACTATAATGTAGTTTCTTACTGGTGCATTATTCTCTGCTGAAGATATAAAAAAGATTTTGAGGTTTGATTTTTTAAAATAACATTCAATTAAGTTGATGTAGAAATTAAATACTCAGTAGTTATTTATCATTTTTAGAAAACGAAAAAGGTAGATTTCTTTGTTTCGCCTAAAAATATGCAGTTATTTTATTTTTGTTTAAAAAAACGGTGATGGATCTCGATTTGAACAAACAGACGGAAATCGATAAATGGACTTTGAATTTTTTACTAACCATGAATACATATAATTTATGGAGTGTCCGCATTTCTATGGTGGTGGGTTTAAAATTGCTCTTTTTAGTGCTCTGTAAAATATAAAATTTGGTCTTCGAATAACCATTTTGTTTCAGGAAAGTCCTACTTAATAGTTTTCTATTCTTTGAGAAAGGTGTGCTAGATGGAAATATGTTAATAACCTTATTCTAATTTGATTGCTTTGGGCTTGAAACATTTAAATAATGTCAATTTTGTTGACACTGTTGATCTCCAAAACCTTACTTCTTGCAAATATATTTGATAAAATGTTCGTATCAAAGTAATTAATGTATCACAGCTGAAATTTCCATAACCAAATAATGAGTTCTCTAATTAATTTTTGGCAGTCGTAAATACTTACAAATCAATCTTCTATTATGTTACTACTATTATGTCGCCCGAAATAATTAGTTATTTTTTGGCTATTAAAGCTGAAAAATAGAAAAAAGTATTTGTTTTTCACATTTTTATTTCGTCCGCTGCTGGTGTTTTGAACTTGTAATGTTTTGCGCCACGGTTTGGAATATTGAGGGTTGTTTGAAATCTTACATTGGCATTTTGAAATATTTTTCGAAGCCGATAACTTTCGTTACTCCTTACTTGGTAATGATAAAAGTAAATTATAACACATGAATTTCAACCTACTTATGGTTTGTTGGCTTGGTTTAAGGATGCTCAGCTACACGGGAGTCGACAACTGCTACACTCGGAGACCTTTGGTCCATTGTACGAGCGAGTGCTAGCACGTGATTTCCGACTGCTGTCATTTCTAAGCCACTCGTCCGACAGCTGTTAAAATTATTCCAGTGACAGCTCATTATATTGTTTACAAGCGTACGAAAGCATTTTGGCGAGAATTTTCAAGAAAAAAGTTGGAATTCAAGTGAACGGAAGAAAACAGCAACATCAGCAGAAATGGTTCGAAAAGCAAAGAAGCGACTTGATGAAGCGACCAAAAAATGGCTCGTGAGCTGAACATATCGCAATATTCCATTCAGAAAATATTGAAAAATGAGCTCGGGACAAAGCCATTGAAATTCCAAAAAGGGCAAGAACTTACACCGCAGCAGAAAGAAAATAGACTAAAAAGAGCTAAAGAGTTGCTTCGCTTGGCCGGAAGTAGTGAACTGCCGAATTTGGTTTTCTCCGATGGGAAAACATTCGTTGTCCAGCAGTTTGTAAACAAACAAAATGATCGTGTTTACTTGCCAAGGAGGTCAGCTGAAAATGTGCAGTTTCGGTTGGCCACCAGAACTCAAGCGCCGGCCATGGTGATGGTGACCAATTCGAGCAAATCTAAACTTATTCTAAAATTCGATGCTGTTTCCGAAATTTTTAGCTTTCATTCAATAATATTTAAAAAAATGTAAAAGTTATGGCCTTTGACTTTGTTGCAGTTTGTTTTTATCTCACCCTGTATTCAGGATAAATGTTACAGTTTATATCTCCCACCTACCAAATAGCCTATCTCTCTTGTTAGATGGCATGGGACATTTGCGTATTAAGTTTTTTAACCTCTTCTTCCTCTTCACAAGTCTAGAGTAGTCAGGAACACTATTATCTCATTATGAGGTTAGATATCAACTCCCAAATTGTTGATGAGCACTCCGATATTTATTTCTCTTTGAAAATATGATATGCACCCAGATCTCCTACTTTTCCTTGAAAGTTTTATCTTTTAATACTCTTCAAATGTATAATGCCTTGTTATTGTGGACATTTCTTGCAAGTTACAATCTCCCACTCTCTCTCTCTCTCTCTCTCTCTCTCTATCTCCATTGTTTTAACTAATAAATTATCTATTTGGTTTCGTTTTTCTTTTCTACTTCCAGAATCATTCCACAAACATCATCTTGAAATTGATTTAACACAAGCCTGCGTTGGGGAATTAAATACAATTTTACGTGGCGATATCAATTGCCCCATTATATACGGCGTGGGAGTAAATATAAAAACTGGGGAAATATTTCCAGCCACATTTCCCGAGCGGGGACCAGATAGGGAATTACGTGATGCTCGTAACTTTATGGGAGCACAAACGGTAAGAAAATTCGCTTACAACACACACACAAGCAATGCGATTTTTTAATTGTTTCTACTGCCGTTACTTGTAATTGCAGGTTCTTGATATATATGACGCCTCTTTGGGTCTATTACGCATCGGACCCTTTAATTATGATCCCTTAAGGGGTGCCGATTTGTGGCTGGCACAAACCGATGAATTTCTATTGCAACATTTATCCACAAGTCCTGATGTGGAACCACCACATTTTACACATCATGTAAGTAAAATCCTTCAAGAGATTTCGGGGATTATTTACTAATTCTCTCTCTCTATCTTTCCAACAGATGAGGGCAACCATTAAATTCATACAAGAAAACCAATTTCCTGCTATTACTGTTTTCCGAGACAATCGACCTCGCTATTATAGACGCGATGAAACTACGGGTTGCTGGACACTGGTTAGATATTAATAAATGTTTGCTTTATATAACTGTTTTTTATGTTTCGTTTATGCGTTTCCTAATTGAAATTATAGTTTTCCTAAAGTATGTATATGTGTGTTTGTATGTATGCATAGTCGTCCTATATTATTTGCTTTTTAATTGATTTTACACATATATTTTTTATGCTTTTTTTAATGCAGACAGAAGGATTTTATGAGCAAGAAACATTTTATGTCTTATTATTTTAGACCGAGTATACGGTGTTACAAATCTTTTCTTACTTTGTAATTTTAAAGTAGCTAGCATCACAAACTGATGTTCGAACCAAAACACTTATAGGCAACTTATACGTATACTTGCCGCAAGCGAATTATTTATAAAAAAAGACATCTGAGCTACAGTAAAACTGTTAATTGACACTATATGCCCATGCTTAGATTGGTCGAACGTGTGTCTTTATGGTTCCTTTAAATACTTATTCTCCACCTGGTCTTAATGTTCGGTTTTACTAATTTTTGTTGGCTTCATAGCTTTCTTCTATTGATAATAAAACTTTTAGTTTTGTTTGTTCTAGTTATTGTTCGTATACTTTTTCCTTAAAATTGTTACCCAAATCAATGTTGTAACAATTCCCCGACTATTATTTGATTTGTAAATACATTTCTCTTTTATTGTTTATTTTTGATTTCAAGTTTATCACCTACTTGTTTTGTATTGTTACAATGAAAATCCATGATAAATAACAAATATATTTTAATCTTTTCCCCATTTTTCTTGTCTATTTCAAAGATTTTAGATTGAAAATTTCTTAAAAAGAAATTTCTAACATGAAAACTGTTTATTTCGGTATGCGCCTTATTAAAGAAAGTAAACAAAAAATGGATTTAAGTGAAAAAATCTTTAAAGCAAAACACACACACAAACATAAACTCTCTTTTAATAATAAAGAAATTGTTTAATTTTATTGAAATTATTTAGTAAAATGTATGAGAATTTAAAACAGATGACATTGTACTCTAAATATAACAAAAAATAAATATATATATATAACAATGCTGGCAAATTTATATACCATAAAAATGATTTAATATTAAATAAAATATCAAAACAAATCAATAATGTATTTGTAGTTTTACTTAAAATGTAATAAGAATTTAATAATCAATATTTAAATCATTAATAGGAGGACAATTTTTGGGGAAGTTTCTAGTTTTTTTTAAATTGCATCCCCTTACGCGTGTTATACTGTCACATGCTGCAGAGTGGTGGAAAAATTCCCTCTTTCGATGTTTCTTCTCTTACTTTGATCCTTGTAGTTAAGTAGGTCCTTAGTCTGGTATTACCCTGGTTACATTGAAAAGAGCTTCTAAAATATCGATGTAGATAACCGATGCATACCTTCCTAGTCAAAGATGTTTTCAAGGTGATAGTACATCACCACGGTTTAAAATGCTAAAGGCAAATTAGCATTTGCAGCGAAAATTTTCAGTCTTGTCTGCTAAAAATACTTCAGCTAAGACACAATAGCAGTGAACGGCTGAAACTAAAATGAAATAAGCCTTAACGAAATAGCTCAGCACCAAAAAGGCAGCACGACTGCTACTGCTACGACAGATCAACTTTTTGTTACGACCCGTGTTCTACTCGGCCATGGATGGTCAACACAGCGAAAGCTGCATCGACTGAAACTGTTTTTTGCTTCAGGGTCATATTTTTTAATGATTAAAAGAGGTCATCTGAAGCCCATTTAGACCGATACTCCCAAAGTAACCATGAAATTGGGTTTCCCTAAAAAATCTTGTCAGTTTTCTTGGTATCATACCACACCCTAATGACCCAACTAGTGAGTTCCTAAAACAACTATTGCTTGTTTAAAACTCTTCAACTTTTCTGATATTTTTTTTTTAGGTACAGTTTCTTTTGTGCTGACTAGGAGACAGACCTTGGGACTAAATGATGCCTAATACAAGTCAATCCCTGTGTTGATACCCACATAATTTCTATCAGTGTTGGAGTTTTGCAGTCAGTTGATACCCTCATAAGATATTAGCCTCCATACTAATTCCTTGCTATGGTATGGAGACTACACCATGGTCATGGAAGCCACTTCATGAAAACAAAAGAATTTAACTCCCCACTCATGCTACGCCAAGCCTCAGCTATAATTGAAGAAAGTTTTTGCAATTGATCTGCATCCTTCATCATTTTTTTAAGACTACGTTCATTCCAGCTGTATTTTATTATTTACACAAGGTATATATTTTTTAGCATTCTATAAATAAATTCCAAACTATTACACTCCTAACAAAACTCAAAAAAAAACATATTTGATGTTCAGTCACAATTCACATTTATTGAATTTACTAAAATCTGGATGCCACCACGGCAGTACTTTATATTTTTGTATGTGCTGATATTTCCATGTGATTCGTTGGTCTCCTGTCAAGGATACAAAATCCAATTCTAAATTTGTCGATCTCATATCGGTAGACAGCAGTTCCCTTGTATCCTTTAACCGTATTGTGGAAGATGAGTTTGTACAAAGAAAATCAGACGGAAATGGTATGAAACGATCACAGCATATTATCAAAAGTTTCAGGCCATTGCAATTATCTACAGAAGAGGGCGCAGTACTTAATGCCTTCGTAGTTTTTGTATTATTATTCCTCTCAGTGTGTTCTTCATTTTCGGCTAAAGATTCCCAATCATTGACAACTGTATCAACCTGTTCATTATTCGTTGATGATGAATTCTTTGTAGACTCTGCATTATGTTTAATTGTGACAGCAGCATTATCCCGAAATTTGTAAACCATTATCCAAACGCATTGCACGGTCAGATGCCATGATGATTGGTATGTTTTTCCAACCAAAGATTCCAACTTGTAATTGTCTTTAAGGCGATCAACAAACGGAGGATGACAGAAGAATAGCGCCTTAATAACTTGTTGCCTCAATATGTTGATATCACACTGCGTTATCTGATGCATTTGTAAATGGGATGGTAATTGTAATATCCACTTATTTCTATCTTTGGATTTTTGACAATGCTTCCTATACAGCTGTATCCAAAAGTGTCTTGATTTTAAGCATTCAGCTGATTGTGTACAAATCATGGCGAATCTTTGAACATCTTCAGGTGCAATATAGTTAGCCAAATGGAACCATATGTCATTGCCGATATATGAGTACTCTGTTGTAGACGATTCGTTGTCACGCATTACTTCTTCTAAAGCTTCTATGGCAGCTCCTAAACATTTGCCCCTACGTGCCCTTGGCTTGAGTTCCAAATAATCTGATTGTAACAAGAATGTTTCTGAAAGAAAATATGATCTTGTTTAAAAAGTGATTCTGTACAATAAGCAGGAAATTCTTCACATATTAAACTTACGACATTTGCCTCTGGTCCTTAGCTTCCATTGAAGTTGCTCCTCGTCTAAATCCATATCAATAGGCTCCTATTAGGTATAGGTAAGTCCGATTAATCGAATAATCGACTTTTTGTACTCAAAGTTCTGAAACTCGAGCACTATTCATTGTCGATTGTTCGACAAATGCCACAGCTGATATTATATGAAAGAGTTGCCACATGTTAGCTTTAACATTCTTATTGGGATTTAATTGCATTCTCTTCAAAAACTTTTATAACTGCAAAAAATTTCTCATTCAGTATTTTAAGTCGGCACAAATGCTGATGCAAACATACAACTTCAGCATGATTGTATTAGAGCTCTTTGCACGTTCAATCTGCTTCATGAGGATTTATTTGACGTATATACAATGGAACTGACAATAGTAAATTCTAAAATCCGTTTTTTTACTAAATCCATTCACACACATTCCGGGTGAATCATATGTCCGGCATTCACTAATTTCATTCACATTGTTATCATTCCTATATACACATATTTTGTGTAAGAAGAAGAGGGCTATCATTCTTTTGCACATTATTGGTTAAGTAAGAAGAAGGGTGTTAATATTTTGTTTGCGTGGACATTTACTCTGGAAAAATGAATGTGAGTTTTTTTCAAATATTTCCCATAAATAGTAAATAATTCAATTCTACCTATATCGCCATGCAGGAGGCTGACATTCCCATTGATATACATACGCTTAAGCTACAAGATTGGCTTGTGAGCAGGCGTATTGTACCCAAAAACATACAATCCAATTTGAAAGACATTCGTTCCAAAATAACTGCAGCCTTGCAAGATATGCCATCCCATGAAAAACTCATTGAGCTCCTAAAGGGTACAAGTAAGTACAAACATGAATGCTTTCCAATTTATGGGAATTGGTATAATATGGAACTCTTTACAGACATCAACTATTTCCATTGCAAGGAAATCATTGAGATTCTAAAGCAAACGGAAAAGGATACCAAGGGTCTCTTTGGCAGCTATGGCAGTCAGCGAATGAAAGATTGGCAAGAAATTGTGCGCCTTTATGAAAAGGATAATGTGTACTTGGCGGAAAGTGCTCAACTCTATGTGCGTAATGTTAACTATGAAGTCCCCAACGTTAAGAAACAAATGACAAAATTCGAACAACAAAGTGATGAATGCTTAAAACGCAGCAATGATTTGGGTAAACCGGAAGCACAACTTCTGGCCGAACATGCTGCTTTGCTACAGCAGATTGGCGTAAAAGGTGAAAATCTACGTGAGGAGTTTACTCAGGTCCTTTCTGGGCTGCCTGAAATTTATGCGAAAAGTATAAAGCAAATAGGAACCTTGGATGAGGCTTTACAACTGTATGCCACGACTACGGGTCAAACCAAACAACAGTGTTTACCAATTACCAGGCATTTAATTGATTTTGGCAATACAACAGTTTACCAATATATTCACAAGGAAGCACCTCTCTCTGTCGAGGAGCCACCAATTAAATTGAATTTGAGTGCAGAAAATGAAATGAAAAGCAATGATAATGAAATAGATTTCGGCGATGATAATAACGGGGCTTCCTCCACCATTTCTGGTGAAATGATTGATTTTGGTGAATTGAATTTGGAAACTGGTGGTGAAGGCGGCATCGATTTCGGAGATGCTGGGGATACTGGTGACATTGATTGGGGTATTGAAAGTGCACCCACTGAAGGTGTGGAAATCAACTTCGACATACCCATCGAGGAGTATGGTATCGTTGTGGAAGGAGCTGGCATGGATGGTGGTGTTGCCAAGGGTGATCAAGCTTATACACTTCTTGATTCGCCTTCCTATCGTGAACGTTTTATTGATGAGTTATATGAACTCGAGGCCTTCTTACGTATGCGTTGCTATGAACTGCGTCAGGTTACTGCCAGCAGTAATGTTATGTTTTCTCTCATGGAGTCCATTTCAACCCACGATGAAGAGTCTTTGCGTAAAATGTTGACCAACCTTGATGTTATCCTAACAGAGATGAGCAGCGAACAAACTCGCCATCTTTTCCAATTGAAACACTCGCCCAAATATGCTGATCTCTTAGCATCAAAATTGAAGCAAATGCTTAAAGCTGTAGAGAAAATACGTACCACCAAACAGGTGTTAAAAGATCGTTCTGTGGAATTGAAGGAACAACGAGTTGCACTAACACCGGTCCTGGAGAAATTAATAGCCCAAACAAAAGATTTGCAGGGCAAGATTGAACAGGACATATCGAAACGTTATAAGAATCGTATAGTTAATTTATTGGGTGGTGTTTAGATAATTTGCGGGGATGGAACTTGTATGTTATTGTTATATCATTTGCAATATATATTGTATGTTTGTAATTTAATTTGGCTGCAGAATAAATTGTACCTACATGCCTTTACTTTTTTAAATAAAACTTTTTGTTAAAACAATAAGTATTTTTAATTTAAAAAATATTGTGTAATAAAAAGCTCGTACATAAAAACATATTAATAACGCCTTTAGCGAAATCCTATAAATCTTATGCTGGACGGCTTTTATTAGAAGAGCTTTAACAAGTTTTCTGTAGAAAGAAGAACTACTAAAGACATGGTACACAAAAAAATATGATATAAAGTTATATTAGAGGTAGAGACTTTTAGTAGTTCATCTATGCAGCGACTACTTTTGCAGATGTTGTAGATATGAAATGCCTTTAATAGATAAAAAAAACTTCCAAAGGGCCTTTATGCATAAAATTTCTTCAGGTCTCCTTTAGATCGACTTTTCCATTCTACTCATATAAAGCAGCAGATTGTTATGGTATGATTGCAGACGCGTTCAAAGGTAAGAGAGGTAAAGCCTAATAGTTAAATTTATAATAACACAATGCTCAAATCTTTTCAAACCATATGCATACTCTGTGGATATTCTGACAAACATCACAGTTTCCCACAGTAAATACCCTACGAAACGCAGAGACACTAATACTTTATGAACATTGCCTTTACAACGACGGCAAAACTGCAGCGCGATGAGCAGACGAAAGGAATAAGAAAAGATCCCACGTTCAGTGTAAGTGCCTCCTCCTTGATGAAGTTAAACTTGATTTCAAAGTTTGTTGAGAAGCAGAACATTTGAATTGATCGTTAGGTTGGTTTGGCTACACGGGAGTCGGCAACTGCTGTACTCGGACATCTGCATAGTAGGTGTTCAATCGTCTCTACCTCACCCTCATTTTCACATAATCTACAAAAGTTAGAAACACTGTAATCTCATGTTGGGGTCAGATACCCGATACTGCAATGGCCAGTCAGTATGTTTAACTGATTGCAAGATCAGATCCACTTGTACATGTCTTTAAGGATAAAAAAACTTTTTTAAACTCTTTCAGTTTGCAGTCCAATAGTACCACAAGTTAATGGCACGAGCCCTCTGTTTCTGAATTTCATCATTACCATTCAAATAAAAACTCCATATAATTAAATTATTTTTCTTTTTTATTTAATATACAAACGTTTTTTTTTTTTTTTTTTTCTTTAATTTTATAATTACAATTTTAGGTATATTTCTCCGTTTTTAGGTATTATTATTATTATTTATTAAAATCTGGGTGTGTGGTGTATTTATTTTTTATCCTTCTAGCATACTTTTTAAGATGTATTTTTTTTTTTTTGTTTATTGAATTTTAACGCTAAACGTTTTGTTTTCTTATATAATGTGTTTGTTTTTGTTGTAAGTTAATATTATTATTGTAATTTGATATATTTATAACTTTATTTTTTGTATTGTTTTTAATATGTAAAACTCTCACTTTTTTATTATAAATAAAAAATTGCTTAAACAATAAAAACAATATATAGCAAAATATATATATTTATATATAAAATACACAAAAATATGTAAACAAAAATAGTTTGTAAAAATTAAAACAAAATTTATACTTATAGAATTGTGTTTTAATTAATTGGTATTGATTAACGAGTATACATTAGTATGGGTGTTGTGAGACAGAAAGAGAGACAGAGAGATAGAGGGATCGAAAGAGACACAGTGGAAGAAAAACTAAGACATTAGTAAATAATGCATGCAAAGTTTGAAAGAGGTGGGTTGGTTTATTTGAGGGGAGATTTATTGTATTGTTGTCTCTGTCGTTTATTTTAAGACAAATTAGGCAATATATTTATATATTATTTGTTTTTTGTATTTTTTATATAAATAATAAACACTTGTACTAATTTTAAAAATATATGAGTTTCTTTCAAATTATTTTGCTTATATTTAAGTATTATATTTTATGTATTTATAAACTAAAATTTGTTCTTTTTTAAAGAGAAAAAGAGGAAAAAGAGAGTATGTTAGAGAAAAAAAGAGAAGAGTATAGCATTTTTTTGTTAAAGTTGATTAGGGGAACAATACAAATTAGGAGATTTTTTTCATTTAAGAAATTACAAATTTAAAATCAATAATATTTTTTTATTAATATACACTCTTTTCTTTTATTATTTTACAATATGGATAATATCTAAAGTCTAATTTTTATTGCTTATTTTTAATTTTTTTATCTTCTGCTTTTGTATTTTCTATATAGTTTATGATAAAAATTATTCTTAAGTTATGTATATTGTTTTTTTTTTTTTTTTTTTTTTTGTTTTACTTGAAGTATATGATTTACATTATTAAAAGAATTATATTTGTTTATATAAAAACAAAACTAACTGGCTTTTATTTTGATAATAGGAGGTGACATTTGACCTCCATATAGTTATGTTATGTTGTTATTCTCTTCTCCTGTTATTAGAAAAATTTTAAAAGCCTTAAATAAAAACTAAATAAAATTTGTTCATTTTTTCATAAAAGTTTTGAGATATATATCTAAAAAATGAGAAGCATGTGGATGGGTGGGCTAGGCTATTTATAATGAAAAAAAAGAAACAAAAAATAAATTAAACATAAATTCTTGTAATCGAGTCGTGAAGATGTTTATTATTTCCATTTATTTTTTTTATTTATAAATACAAAATAATTTTTGAACAAAAAAGAAACTCGGTGTTACCAAATAAAAAAATACTTCCAATATGACCTTCTCTCTCAACTAAGCCTATGAGTTTTCATCAAATCTCAGCAATAAACTCCATTAATACATCTTTGAAAGGCGAGTTTTTTGGACATAAGCTAGATTCCATATTACAATTGTTAATGTCATATGTGGTGAGATATTATTTTCTATGTGTGAAGTACCACTTACAGATCTTTTGTAGGTAGACATCTATTCGCAAGCCATATATCAATGAATGACTTTTGCCGATAGATGCCCTGAAATTTCGATAGATACAGTTCACATAGAAAGTCTGCTTTTAGACTATCTCCTAACAAAGAATATGGAAATCTGCGACTTTTCGTCAACAGATGTGCTTTTAAAGCCCTTAAAATCTTCTTCTTCCAAGAAGATTTCCTAGTAAAATAATATGAAAATCAAAAGGTTTTCTATCTATAGAATACAAAATATTATATTTTATAAATATAAGGTAAATAGAAAAGTTAAGAGGGTTGATGTTTATATTTCAAGTAAAACCAGAGAATGGAAATGTTCCAACATTTTTCGGCCAATCTTTTGGGAATTTTACCAAAAGGGTTTTGAATTCGGACAATAATTATCCGTTACTAAACTTTGGTCCTGCTGATATTATAATTTCTGAAATAGAACAATAGTAATGGGGCAGACAAGTAAATTCCATCCGAGCTGCGTTTCCTATAAGGAGCTGGATATTCAAAACGAATTAAGCGGGATACAAGTCAAAATTAAAGTAGGAATTACACATATGTCGCCATGGGTGCCTAGTCCATCCAAAAGAGGAAACATTCATTTGAATAGAATGGAATGGACGTAATGTTTCTTTCCATGTTATGCCCACGTTCTTGTCATATATTCTCGGGTAAAATCCATACTTACTTACATAGTTTCCTTTACTAGTCTTACGGCTTATGTCAAATATTCTAAAGCTGTAAATGGCTATGGAAAAGGTCTAATCACTATTTTCCATATAATCTTCTACACTTTTCTCACTACATCTTGGGACGTAGTTCTCCGAATGTATAAAATTTCTTACGATAACTGTCATATGCACATACGAAACATCAAGTATTCTTTGCTCTGCCCCCTTTCAATTGGTAAAACGAGTAAAAACGATCATGTTCCTTCTCTTATTCTGCCAAATTCGATAAGTAAAAGTTTTTTAAATAGAGGACCATTCCTGGGTTCTCTTAAAATTGCCTGAAACTTATATTTTTCAGTTAGATCAGCTTCTTTAGTCCCCAAAAAACTAGTCAGTCGGAGCTGTGGATATCCAAAATATCAAACTTATCCATGAAAATTACCAGAATTCCAGAATACGAAATATGAATAGCAACCCTCTTATATTAATACGGTTGCAATTACTATTTAGACAAATATCAAAACTCCATTCTAAATGAATAGTACCATAGTTAAGACTCGTATAAAGATGGGTGGTAATAACTTCGCATTTTAAAGATGTATATTGAATTTATGAAAACAAATTGATTTAAAATCTACTTGCAATGGGGAAGCTACATCTAAGAACGGGTCACTTTGCAAGTATTATCTTATTTTGGTGTGACATAATCTATTAAAAAAATGTATCCTATTTGCTACTCCTTATTTTTTCGTCTTCTTAAATATGTAAAGTATTATTGATTACACTGTGGGGAGACATTTAAAAATGTATCTATAACAAGAAATCCTTCAACATTTACTTCCAAAATTAACCAACAAAAATGGCTGTAATTTAGATGGGGATTTCTTGGATTTTCTTGTTAAACATACATTATCTTTACCACATATACCACTCAATGCTGTTTTATGTTATTAAAAATAATTGTCGCATTTTATTTAGCAGAAATGTAATTTATAGAATTTTTTTGTCTGTTTCTTATTGTTGTTTCAATCTATTTGTAATTTAGTTTTTATCGTGATTTTACTACATACAAAATGTATTTGTTTTTTCTTATTTTGTGTTATTAAATTTCTTGTTGTTGTTATTTTTATACCTAAATTTCCACACGTGATTGGAATTATCTACACCTAGAGATTACAAACCTTATTCACCAATTGAATTAACAACAAACAATGTAAAATACGGAAGCTTTTTGTTGGGTTTGGCTTCAAACCTTTTTGCAATAAGGCAAGATGCAGTCGTTTTAGTTGAATAGAAAAACCATAGTTAAAAAAGTAATTAAAGCTTCCGTTCTTTTGGTTCAAAAACAAAATAGAATGGGGTTTCTCCTGTGTTGGGATGTGTTTTGGATGTTTGTTGTAAGTGTGTGTGTGTGTGTGTTTTTAGAAAAATTTACAAGCTACACTAATTGTTTAAAAAATAATATAAACAAAACAACTTAAAAGTAATTAACTTACGGATTAATATGAAACATCGCCTCTCTTAGTTTTTGTATTTGTTGATGATGATGTCGCCGCCGCTACAGCTGCTGCTGCGGATGGGTTTGATGAAGTTGCCGAATTGCTGGCTGTTACAGATGCTGTTGTTGATGGTTGTGATGGTGTCATTGCCGGTGGAGGTGGTGGCCACCAATGCAGCAAATCACTTTGCGAATGGGCCGCTCCCGCATGGCCCGGATGATGATGGGTAGGATGCGTTCCCGCTGTTTTAGCACGCTGATGGTGGTGATACTGTTGCTGCATGTGATGGTGATGATGGTGGTGATATGGATACTGGGGAGGTGTTTGTGCATGCTGATAATGATGGTGGTGGTGGTGTGCTGCTGCCGCTGCAAGTCCCTGATGATAGACTTGTGCTGCTGTTCTTGTCGTACTGGTATTATTACTACCGCTACTACTCGAATTTCCGCCGCCGCCTCCAGCCCCACCGCTGGGCATGACCTATTTTAAATGTCAGTCATTTTTCACAGAATAGTACAATAAATCGGGCTGCTGTACATGTTGCTGTTGCATGTGATGCATATAATCGCTTATTGGAGGCAGTACGGCCTTACCATCATCACCGCCCAGAACTGAATAGCCACCGCGATCGTATACATGTGGATGGCTGGCATGCGGAGGTGGTGGTGGCAATAGGTGGGATGCAGCAGCTAGAGGATGATGGGCGGTGGGTGCCAAAGGATGCCCACCCAAGGCGTGAGCATGCGTTTGTAACGCATGTGGATGATATGGTTGAAAGCTATTCTTTTGCTGTTCACCCATGTCAGCCAAACTGGAGGCATGATGGGCAGCTGCATGATGGTGGGGATCATAGAGCGAGCCTGGTGCTCCATATACCCCAGCGTGGCGTATCAAGCCACTAGCTCCGGCAGTAGGCTGCAAGCCATACGCTGATGCAGCACTGGCCGCTTGATGTTGCTGCTGCTGTTGTTGATGATGCACACCCAAAGCACTTTGTTGCTGCTGTTGGCTTTGCGCTGCCGCCGCAGCAGCTGCTGCCGATGTAGCTGTTGTACCACCTGCCACAGGCACCGATCCTTGCTGCATTAATTCGAAATTGTATTCCATTGGATTGGGATTGTTGTCAATGAGATTCGTCAAAATACTGCCAATATTGTTATAGCTATGGGGATCGGTTGTACCACCAACATTGGCAACACCGCCAGCTGCCTGCTGACTAGCAGCGGCTTGTTGTTGAGCCTGTTGAGCTTGAGGCTGCTGAGTTTGTTGTTGCTGAACCTGCTGTTGTTGCTGGGCGGTGGTCTGTTGTTGGCCACCATTGGCACTGTAGGCCATTTGGTTGGGTGTCTGGTTCGCCTGGGGCCACATGTTCTACAAAAATAAAAAAGGAAAGAAATTTGAATCCTCCTCTCATCCCCCTGTAACACAATTTACTTTTAGACTTACCTGAAAACTCATCAAATCCTGTTCCTGGTGTTGCTGCTGAGGCGTTTTGTTTGCCACCATTGGTGACTGTGGCTGTTGAGCGCTGCTCAACTGATTTGTTTCTGCACCCGGTGTACTGCTGCCAGAAACGTTAATTGGAAGACCCATGAATTCGGAAGAATCGACGATGTAAAACTTATTTGGATTATCTTTATCGGATGCTGATAGATTGCTTGCATTCGTCTGTTGCTGTTGTTGTTGCTGCTGCTGCTGTTGTTGTTGGGGATGTGCGCCAGCACCACTTGCTCCATGTCCAACAAAGTTGATGTTACCCCAGGCATCTGTGGTGTATTGCTGCTGCTGTTGTTGCTGATGATTGACGGCAACACCTGGCTGTTGTTGTTGTGGTGTGGCCTGTGGCTGCGGCGTATGAGCCTGAGGCGATTGCAAACGTGTATGTTGTGGCGAATGCATTGGTTGCTGATGCTGCTGTTGCAGCTGTTGTGCTGGTGTTTGATGGGGATGAGGCGATCTTTGTTGATTGTGTCTCTGGTGAGCGGTGGCTTGTTGATGCTGCAATTGTTGTTGCATCATGTGTTGGTGGTGATGCATTTGTTGTTGATGTTGCTGCTGCTGTTGGGCGGCACTCTGCAAATGTTGCTGATGTGGCGACGAAAAGTGCGGGTGCTGTTGCGGAACATGACTGTGGGGATGTGGACTCTGGGGTGTATGACTGCGCATATGTGCCTGCTGTTGTTGTTGTTGCTGTTGCGGCGGTGGTGGTGGCTGTTGAGTAGTTTGCATTTGTTGTTGATGATGTTGCTGTTGGTATTGATTAATGATTTGATGTTGTGGATAAGCACCAGGATTAGTGATGGTTGATGTTGGGCCGCCAGCGGCACTTTGATCGAAATGAAATTGTGTCTCCGGTTGTGTGGGCCCACCGCCACCAAAACTATTAATACGGGGCAAGTTATTGTCCGGCGTGTGACTATTATTAGGTGTGTGACGATGATGCTGTTGTTGCTGGTGCGGAGGTGGTGTTGGTCTTTGCTGTTGTTGCGGATGCGGATGCTGACTGTGTGGGGTTAACATGGGCTGTGCTTGCTGCTGTTGTTGTTGTTGCTGTTGTGGTGCCAGTGCCGTTTGTGGTCCCTGTGATGTTGGATGTGGTTGCTGTTGCTGCTGCTGACCCAACAGCTTTTCAGCACTAAAGTTTTGACTGTACATGGAATTCGGTTGAGATTCGCTAGACTGCAATGAATGCTGTGATGTCGAAGCAGTTGACGATTGTGAACTATTGTTACTTATGATGGCAGCATTGAAGGGATCTTGTTGTGAGGATGACGAAGTTCCGGGTGTTGTTGATAGAGGTGGTGGTGTGGCAACAGCCCCCATTTTTTGTTGTTGTTGCTGTTGTTGAACCGTTTGTTGTTGTGCCTGTTGTTTTGGTTTACTAGCATTCGATTTCTTGGCAACTTTAGCCGGTGGCGGGCCGGGAACATCAGACATTGGAACTAATTCTATGAATAGTGGAATATAGTTGGTGGATAGAGAAATAAAACGAAAATATGTTAGAGAAAACATAACCAAATCAATGTTAATATTATTTCAAGCTAAAAAAAATAAATAAAAACAAACACAAACTACGTAAGTTTTAATTTAACAAAATAGTTACCATCACCTTCCTTTGCGAACCGTTTAACCTTTTTGGGGGACGGCTGGTTACCATGCACGGTTTGTTTGTGGCGTACAAGATGAGTTTTCCATTTAAATGTCTTAAAGAAGATAAAGGAAAATATTAATTAGAATTAAACAAATAATAAAGACCTTCGAGTTCGAGTGTCCAAAATAAAAGGAACTCTACAACAGAAACGCTTAAAAGAAAAATAAAACTGAGCCTAAACTCTTTTGCCATTACATCTAAATCATAATTTCAGTCGAGACTAGAAAACGAACTGCAATCCTGACCGTTTTAATTGTGTAGGACGTAAATAATCATTCGTTTTCATTCAATTTCAAATTCGTAATCTTTACATACCTGTTCACAATAACAGCAACTATGTGGTCGCTCTTCCGAATGTGATGGTAAATGACGTTGCAACGATTTAACTGAACCAAAACGTTTTCCACACAATGGACATTTGCATTCGGAGGAATCTGTATGAGCGTTGCTGTAATGATCTTTTAAAGCTGGATATGTAAAATACGAAGAGTTGCAAATATCACAGACCTGCGAAAAAAAGGCAAACAAAATATATATTAATATAAATTATAAAGAAAAAAGTATTTTTCTCTCAATTTAAACTTACATATGTCCTTTTAATCTCAGTATGTAACTGGACATGACGTTCTAGATTGGCTTTTAGCGTAAAACGATTTTGACATATGTGGCACTCAAACAAATTATCCTTTTTATGAACACGAACGATATGTTGATACAGAGCATTCTTCGAGGGAAATTCATCGCCGCACACTTCGCAAATAGCACCATCAGCCTTGTGGCCCGTATCATCTAAATGTTGTTGATGTAGTTTTTTGTGAGAGAACTTTTGACCGCATTCAATACAAGAGTAAGCTAAATGGGATTGGGGACAAAAACCAAATGGTATGATATTTACTTAAGTGTTTATTCTAATGACAACTTATGGAATCAAAAAACAAGTTACTACTTTTATTTACGAATACGACATTGGGTTAGAAGAAGCAAGCTTTAGTTTGGTTAAATGCAATGAAATTTACTCTCAATACTATGTTAGTCATCGATTGTTATGATTCTTGACACAAACTCACTTTTGAATTCCTTCTTATTGTGAGATTCAACATGGGCATGGAATTGTTGACGCCTTGAATAAGATTCACCACAAGTCTCACAGACAAATGGAAAGTCCTTGGCATGTACCGTGCGATTATGATGGATAATTTCCTGCAATGGACAAAAATAAACTTAATCAGTGGAAATTTACAAGAATTTCATTTGTCCTCACCTCCAAAGAAGTACCATTGGCTTTGCCACAATCATGACAATATCCTGGATGTATTTTATAGTGATCCAGTAGAGATTTTCGTTTGCGATATGACTTGGGACACAACAAACAATTGTAGATGGGCTTCTCCTTTTTCGAGCCGCCACCGGAAGCATTTGTACCGCCGGGCGTTGCCTGCAATGAGGTACTACTACTGCTGCCACCATCAATGAGCTGCTGCTTCGGTTCCATGCCATCATTTGTATCATTTTCATGATCCTCATCATCTTCATCGTGTGACATATCTGGATCATCATGATCAAATGATGCATTGGCCGATGAATTATTACCCGTGGGGGTATGAGGATTGGCTAATATACCACCACTCTGTGAATTAGTTGAGGCCATGGAACCGGAGCCTGTCAAAAATGAAGTATGATCGGGTTGCTGTTGTTGTTGTTGCATCATCATGTGTGTTGGCATAGTTTGCATATGAGGAGGCATCTGTTGCGTTTGTTGCTGCTGCTGTTGCATATATTGCAAATTGTCTGGAGTGGTTGGTGGTTTGGGACCAACACCAACACCTGCCGAACCACCACCACCACCTCCGGCACCGCCAACACCCAATATATTATCTATGCTATTGATGGCATTATTGGTGGCATTAATTTGCATGCGTTGTTGTTGCATTTGTTGGTGTTGTTGATTGGCGGACTCCATCATACCACCCATCATTGCCAATGGATGATTTTGGGCCGGCATATGCTGCTGTGAATTGTAAGGCCCAGCTTGTTGATGCATTTGCTGTTGTTGTTGCTGCTGCTGTTGCATTAGATAACGCTGTTGCGGGGTTTGCTGTTGATGACCTCCTTGGAAATGCTGTTGTTGTTGCTGTTGTTGACCCAAATTGTTATTCATAAGATTGGCAATATTGTGTTGCTGCTGTTGTTGCAGTTGGTGTGGTTGTTGTGGTGGCTTTCCCCCTGGCATTTGTGCCATATTTGGAGCACCCACTTTCATACCATCTTCCGACAATTGTTGATTATGCATCACATGCTGCTGCTGCTGTTGATGATGATAGATTTGTTGCTGTTGATCCTTGGGCATCATATTATGATTACCCGGTCCCATGGCCATGCCATGTGACTGTTGTTGATTTAAATTATTGGGGATAAGGTTATTTTGTGGGATATTACCCGCCGTAGGTGTAAGACCATTCATAAGAAGATTTCCGGTGTTGGAATTTGGTTGTTGTTGCTGCTGCTGGGATAGGTGATTTTTGAAATTTGTTGCACCGATATCATTACCCACACCCCCGCCAATACTTCCAACCCCACTTCCACCAATAAACGGTGATGTCAAGGTGGAAGCACTATCTGTTGTTACCATATCATTGGGCAGGGTATCCATACCATTACCGCTATTACTACTGCCACCGCTTACACTAACACTGGCTCCACTGCCGCTACGTTCAATAACATCTTCGATTTCGGGTTCCATAACCAAACCATCAATCAGCCGTCCCGGTCCCATGCCCTCATCAATGATCTCTTCGAATTTCATTATTTCTTGGGAAGCTGAGGATAACTGAGATTCTGATTCTAGCTCGAAATCCATTTCAGAATCGTAAGCATTGCCCACCGCACTGCTGGACGCTGCTAGAATACGTCTCCTCTGTTGCATAAGCAACATTTGTTGTTGTTGCTGTTGTTGTTTTCGTATTTTCTGTTGACGCCACTCCTCTTCGTGCTCTAGGCGCAACGACTCCAGTACATGTTTTGGTGGTGTCGTGCCCAATAGACGTCCCGTGAATACGAAGTCTTGTTGAAACTGTCGCAGGAATTCTTTGTTACGTTCTTTCAGGGCTATCTTTAGATGTAAACGAAATTGTTCTTGGAACACACGTATACTCAGTTCTTCCGATCTCCAATGGAAATGAATTGTAAACTCATTGTCCGGATGGAAGACATAACCTTCACCCAAATGGGAGACACGTTGTAGTTTTTCAAACAACAAACGCGACTGATGCAATTTACCAAGACTGCTTTTACCACCGTAGGCAAAGCCTGCTCGTCTTCGTGTTCTCTTGAGGCTATCTGTGGGGACAAGGGCATCTAAACTATTACTTTCATCACCATCCGCTGTTGTGGCTATGCGACCAAGACGTCGGGCGTGTATTACGGAAGAGGGTATCAAATCCAAAGGATCTCTACTATTCGCTTTCAGAGAATTAACAACTCCGCCAGATGCTAATGCGGCTGCTGCTGCTCCTTGGGGATAACGCCGTATTCTTTTATTGTGGAAATTTGAATTTTCGTTATCCGCATCATCGGCATAATCACCGTCGTCTTCATCCAGGCACATAAATTCCTCTTTACATAGGATTTTTTCAAAATTCTGATTTAAATCTGTCGACGAGGCATTCTCATCCTCGTTCTTGATATCCTCCTTTTTGGTGGCTAGCAACAGTTGTAATTGTTTCTTCGAGACTCCTTTGGTAGTACTCGCATAGTCACGATCTAAAAGATATGCAAAGACGCTGGGCACAACTTTTTCGCAGGTTTCGGAATATTTAAATTTTAGATTTTGTAGCAGATAATGAAGAGCATCACAACGGGATACAGGATCAAAGCCATTCAATGAATTAAGTGTTTGATCCACCTGGAAAAAGAGAGGGAGAGAGTGTTTAGACTTTGTTTAATGGGTATTCAACAAAAATAGAGAAAGTTGCAATAGAAAGAAAACAACAGTGTTGCCAATGTGCGAGTTGTGTTAGAACAAAAAAACGTAATTAATGGAGAGAATGAAAAACGCCAAATAAGGAAATTTTTGAATTACAATTGCCTTAATAAACAAAAATTTGGGGAATAAGAATTATCATAGCTTTAACTAAGATGTAACTGCAATTTATATTTCTAAGACAAAAATTCCTATGCGCTTTATGGTAAGACTTTAAAAGGTGTCACAATTTAATATTTTCAGATAATAAAAATAACCATTTAAAAGTAATATTTTCAGTTTATACATAAATAAAACTTAAAAAAATTGTATCTTGCACTGCGGTAAAAATTGTATCTTGCTCTGCGGTATCTTGTAATTTGCTCTGATTTGGGCCTTTATGAATACAGACTCCCATGCAAACACATATTTTGCCACCCCAAAAACCAAAAACACAAAATTTTCTCAGAGGGAAGAAAACACAATAATGTTTTTTTTCGTTTCTGGACTACTATTTGATACTTTTCTACTTTTTTGTCCAGATTTAATGTTTTTCTTTCAAGTTTCGGCCAATTTATAGTTGGAAATGATCAGCCCTACTTTGCAGCGATTTAAACATTCTAAGGAATTAAGAAGTTTTTGGTCTTTATGAGTAAGTCAAGCAAAACCCTGGTTTTTACCCTTGTTTTAAAGTCGTTGTCTCTTTTTTAGAGCGATATTCCTTTTCATACTGACTTCATTTCACTATTTTTAACATTTATATTTAAATAATGGACAGTTATAAAATTTGCTCTGATGAGCCACATGTCACAGTTAGTTTTAATAATAATTAATTGAAAAAAATATTAAATTTAAATAATTTTCACTTCAAGTTAAATACGAGTCTCACATCCACATAGTTGTATTTACATATTGCGATTACATAGCGCTTTTTCCGCTAACAATCACATTGACAACACTAAAAAACACACGTCAGTTTTAATTATCTCAGAGCCCTACTTAAAGAAGAGCGCAAGCAAATACCAATGCGAAGTTTTTAATTACTCCCAATGACACAAATATACAATACCACGAAAAAGAAGAAGAAGAAAAAACAACAATGACGATGATGATGATAACATATGTATGTTAACAACAACACCACCAACAATTAGTTACAAACTAAATGGATGCTCTTATTAAAAATGAACTCTCAACGGAAAATGGGGGAGGGAGAGTGTGAGAGAGTTTGTTTAAAATAGAGTGGAGAGTTTTACCTATATGATCGTTTGCAAAAGATGGTGTTCCCTCACTTCTTTTGATAGATTCAAATTTTATTTAATTTCTTTGGTAAATAGTTACTTCCAATAAGCAGATTATTACATTATGGCGCGCACAATATCTGAAGGTCTCTTAATTTATCACTTTAAACAACGACCACTACACCAAATACGGATGTAAGTAATCACTCAATGATAACGGCAATGAAAACTTCCAAATTAAAACAAAAAAAGACCCCGAAACAAACAAAAAATATCAGCACCGAATTGATATTAGTTTTGTATTTTTTTATTTTTTTTATTTCTTGTTCCTACAATGAAGTGGCTGTGTCAGTTTGTATTTTACTAGATATTTTGTAAAATTAAAAAAGAAACGACAAATACTAAGCGCACACACCACACCGACCCGAAATTCACTTGTTTATCTTCCGCCGCAGATTTAAAAACTATTTTCAAACACCAAAAAGAAAAAAATGTACGAAAAAAAAACGCAAAATACAAAAATACGACAAAAACTGAAGAGAGAACACCACACAAAACAAACAGCAACAACACGAACGAAGCAAAACTAAAATTTAATTTGTGCCACTTTTCCCCCATATATCAATCTATTAAACCGTTTTTGTTGTGGTAGTTGTTGTCGTTGCTGTTCGTATAACGCTGAGAAGTTGAAGTCAAGCTTAGAAGAGCGCGCAACAGCCAGCCAGTCAGCCAGCCATCCAACCCAACTAACCAATACAACTAAACCCCAAAATGGGGGCAGAGACGTTGGCTGTGGCATACAAACTGCGCCGTCAAGTCAGACAGAAGTCGTTTGATTTGTAGTTTACAATAGTAGTTGTTATCTGTGTGTGTGATGATCGTTGTTGTTACCGCTGTCGCTGCCGCCGTTGTCGTTTTCGATATTTTGTAGTTCTGCTAGTCGTGTTGCTTGCTTGGTAATCAACGAAGAATGCATACCTACTACACACAGATGTTTCTATGGATATTATGTTGTTCGAAGTGTTATTACTGCCTAGTCGTCTCATTCGTTTTCCCCAACTACTACGAAGAGCAGCTATAGCTCGGTTTTATCTAGTTCCGCTTGCCACCACCAATACAAACAAATGTTCTTCAAACGTTGTTGCCATTATTTATCGTGTTATTAACTGCAGATGTTTTTCTCTTATCTTTTTCTCTATGTCCCTCTCAGTCTCTCTCAAAAAAAGAGTGAAACAATTGTTGGTTGTGTTGCTGCTGTTGTGTACTCATTGTTTCTTATGTTGTATTTTCGTATTTCAAGCCAAGCGAAAACGCCACCCACCCACAGAAATACATGCACTAAACAGCACATGCATGCATCCCTGAACTTGTTACGAGGTTGGTATGAAAGTCCTTTTAAATAACTTACCAAAGGTCTTTTATGGGTAGAATGTAACAACAACTTACCTAGGAATTCATATTGAAGCCATTTTGGCAGGCCCAAGTAGCTAAAAATTAACCTTTACATATGCAAATGCATTCAAAAGATTAGAAAATATACCATATGGGATGGTGTATAAGGCCCAGGCCTTGGAAGGAACTGCCTGGGCTTTTGGCCTTTCAAGGTCTTGCAGAGATAAATTTCTTCCATAAGTCCCATAGAAATTGAGGACATATATCGTTTGAAAGTTATTATAAAGACATCCTTCGAAAGATCTCCAATGGCAACCTGACCTATTGGACTCATTTAGGTCCTCCAAGGAAGGTGACATAGAGTTCTTCTAGGTTATGCAAATCTCTCAAAGATCTTCCATGAAGTTGAGACCTTTTAGAGCTCTTTTTTAAGATATATTTTAAGATCGTTTGTTGTAAAAGAAGGTATTTTCTATGAGTAGAAGACAATATAAAGATCTTCTATTGCCAGAGCACCATGAAACACCTTTAGGGTTAAAAGACCTGTTATACTCTTCTGAGGGTAGAAACATTTTTTAATCGTTTTTGAAAATATAATTTATTGTTATGCTTTAAGGTGGACAAAAGAGGTTTGGAATGCTCTTCTTGACTGGGATTGAAAAGTCGTTCAAGCTTGTCAATGGGCCTAAGGCCTTCTATTAAGATAAGACCATTTAATGTATGTCTTATCTTAATAGAAGACCTTAGAAAGATCTTCTATATATAGTACACACTCTAAAGCTCGTTTGCGGATAGGACATTTTTAAAGCTCTTAGTGTATAGAAGTGTTTTAAAGTTGTCTTTTAACAGATAGAAGACGTTTAAATCATTTTACGGATAGGAAATTTTTCAAGTCCTCTGTGTATGGAAGTGATTTTAAAGCTGTGTTAATGAAAGATCTTTTTAAGCCCTTCATTCCATAGGGAATACCTTTTGCAAACATTCTTCCATAGCCAATCTTTTGATATTCGTGCATTCCAAAATATATATTTTATAGTTCTCTTATGCATAAAATACACTTTAAAGCTCTGTTATGCTTGGAAACATTTAAAAGCCCTTCTACCCCAAAAAGACTCTTCTACGTTAAAAAGGTATTTTAAAGATCTCATAGGTATGTATGAGATACATTTAGAGCTCTTCTTCGTGCAGAAGACCTTTTAAAGCTCTTATAAGGGCGATAGACCATTTGAATCTATTCTGCATTCTATACAACGACGTCCTTTAAAGCTCTTCTATTAAAAAAAGAACACATTTTAAAGCTCGGCTATACAAAAAATTCATTAAATTTCTACAGCTTTTAAGATTACTCTATATAGCAGACCTTTTAGAGTTCATCTTTGTGTACAACTTTTATTCTATCAACAGAAAACTTTCCAACGAAGATATTTCAATTTTTTTTTTGTTTGCTATAAGATATTCTATAGAACACTTCAAAAGATTCTTCCCTCAGGGATAAACAGTTTCGAACGGGAACAGGAAACTTCCATACGGTCATCTGTTGCTAAAAAAGCCCTCCTCACGATCTTCTATTGGTGTAAGACCCTCCAAATGGGATTCTATTGTCAAAAGGCCTCCACAGATATGAGGTCTTCAACGCACATAAGCTCTTTATAAAGTTGCTGAAAACAGAAAACGTATTCTTGGCAAGAGGATCTCTTAGGAAAATTCTATGGGTAGATCGTGGTCTCGCAAGGTCCTTCTAGAAAAAATACCTTTGAGATGAAATAGGTACCTATATAAAGTTACTGCCTATTGTAATTTTCTCAGTGTAAAGCTAAGATTGTTGTAGTTTTTCCTTTTTGTACAATTTTCATGTTCTTTCTGTTACTAGCCCCAATAATATCCCCCTCCATCGAGCAGCGACAAAAGAACAATGTCAATATGCATGTACAATACAATGTACATACCAACACACCATCATACATTCGGCTACATCTTTCTCTGATGTTAGGTAGGTAGGTATATAAAGAACAACTGTGCAACGTTGCGACCAACCGAACGACCCCCTAACAACACCTTACCCGCACACACAACAACATCATGTTTTTGTTGCCCACTGTTTGTTGGATTTGGTGGTATGTACGTATGGTGGTATATGTGTGTGTAACAACTACATGACCATCGTTGCATGGGTATTGTATTGAGTTGTTGCTGTTGGCATTGCCATCATTGCTGTTGTTGTTATTTTTGGTTTTACTATGAAAACAAATACACACGCAAGTGCACATGTAAAAGAATGGTGTGTACTTGTTTTTATTATTACAGCAAGTT